ATTGCTGGCTTTGCATCCTCCCCCTCCGTTGCCTTATGAATGCAGGTTCTAGAAGGTATTGTGGAGCTTACCACTTCCGCCTAAACTTAAGTTCTTTTGGTGGCGAGTGGTTCAGGGCTTCCTTCTTGTTCTTGCGGTGCTACAAATCAAGTGGATCGTGACAGACAATATATGTCTGGCCTATTCTGAAGGAGCTAAAACTCTTTCTCATTCCTTCCAACATTGTTGGGTGGCAACAGAGCTTTGGGATCTTGCCGATTTGGGTGTTCTAAGAAGGAGACTGGTGGGTTTGTCATTTTCGGATTGTTGGATTGCTTTGTTCTTTTTTTTCTTTGTCATTGTCCAAAAGTGAGATTGCTGATGTTGTTTTCCTTTGCGGGTGAGTGTGGAAATCTCGTTGTTGGGCAATTCACAAGCATATTCAATATCTAGGGCCCCCATTATTACGGGAATTTAGAGCTCAGGTTGAGTAGTGACACCTTGCATCATCTCCGTTGACGCTTCATAGGGATGGTGGCGGGGCATCTTGTTCTGGGACAGGTTTTGGACAAGGGGCTCAGATTAATCAAACAGACGGCCGCTGCCCAACCGGTGGTGTCTTTGTACGCTTCGATGGAGCTTGGAAGAAGGATGTGGGATGCGGGTCCGGATTTGTTGGCTTCTCCCCTAATGGTCAACTCTTTTTCGCATTCGGGCAGTATTACCCAGGCGTTTCTGAACCTTTTATTTCGGAATTATTAGATCTCCGAGATGCGATCAATTGGTGTGTTTGGCGCATCGATTTTTGTCTGTCAATTTCTGTGGCGATTGGCAGCCTTTGATTCGCAGGGTTCATGCGAGAGATGTGGCCCATGCAGCAGGCGGTGCGATTTTGGAGGATATTTGAGCGACAGCTGCGTCGTTTATTTTCTTTGATTGTAATTTTACTCCGAGGTTGTACAACATGGCTATCTGTTTAGTGGCTACTAATGCCCTTTCGTCGATAGTTTGACTAGTTGTCGACTGTTGTGTGTGGTTATCAAGTGTCTTATAATATCTATAACTTCCCCTATCTATGACAAAAAAGGCAATGTCTATTTTTTATCCAAACCTTTTTTGAATTCTTTTATAACATCCAAACATATCGAAATACTAAGAATTATCCAAATGTTAACTTCTAATTAGCAATTTTATTAGTAATATCAACTTGACAACATGATACTAACTTGGAAGAACTACATGAATGTCAGCATTCCAAAATTTTAGTATTTCAACTAAGAAAAGAATTACAAAATTATTAACGATGACGTAAAAATGGCTAATATTTTGATGCATTACGAAAGATTTGGCTAATTAATAGCATTTTAATAGATTTGGATAATATAAAAGAATTAAAAAAATTTGAATAAAAAACCCTTATAGAGGATAGGAGAATTTATAGATCATCGGAGCTCTGCTTTTTGAAGTGCTTGGGCTGGATTGGGTTGGGTTGGGCCTGATCGAATGTGCTTAATAGAGTTTTAGGGCTTCTTTTACGGGTACCCGCCCAAATTTTTTACTCTGAATTTTCTCCAATGGTACGAAAATGTCGCCCCAGCGACGGCAACTAGAGATTAACCAGTGTTATTAAAGCCGAACCGAGCCGGCCGACTCGACCGGTAAAACCGTTACCCGGTCGCAATACCGGCTCGGATTAGCTATTTAGCCGGAACGGCTGGATGCCGACCGAAACGGTTAACCCGTTGAGCCGTCCGCTCGGTTTTCACCACTTCCGGCCGTTTTGATTTAATAAAAAAAACCTATGTATTCTTTATTATCTTTTGTAAAAAAAAATAATAATAATAAAAACAAAAGCAAAAATGCAAATTGTCGGGCTGGGCTGCAAAGAAAGAAACCCTAGCGACTGATTTTAATTCATTCTCCTTCCGTCTTCTTCGCAAACAGAGAGAAAAGCGGCGACATCGTCATCGCCATCGCTTCCCAGTCGACTCTCCCGGCTGCGCCTCTCCCGTCGGCTGTCGGCATCGCTTCCCAGTCGGAGTCGTTATCTCCCGTCTCGGCGGCGTCATCGCCATCGCTTCCTCTCGTCATCTCGCGTCCGTAGCAAACTCCTTGCCCCCGCTCGCCATCGTCGCCATCCCCGGTCCCCGTTGGCTGTAGCAGCTCCCCGCCCCGCTCGCCATTTTCGCCATCGCTATCCCGTAGCAGCTCCTCTCCATCTTCCTACACTTGCTGCGGCTGTCTCATCTCCGCCGGTCAGTGCCCTGCTCGACCACGGCAGTAAGGTATTGAATTGTTGATTCCTTCTTTTAACTTTCGTGTGGGTTCTTGTTTCAACATAAACAGTTGGAAACTCAGAATCTTTAAGAAATGATGTAGTTAGCTGATTTTAACAAGAGGTAGGGAGTTGATTTCTTAACATTTTAATTTTGCATTGGTAGAGAATCACGGTTTGCATTTTAACAGGAGGGATGTAGTTGGTTTTCGCATTTTTATTTGCATTTGTTTGGTAGAGAATCAGTCCACTTCATTTGTCTGATTTGGTGTTTTTTTTGTTGTTGCATATGAGTAATCCAAATCTAGATAGTGTAACCTCATCAACAACACCAAGCTCTATTGCTTCAACTCTTGTTTCATGTTTAGATTCGTGTGACATTACTTTTATTTTGGAACAATGTGATGATCTGTAGTTGAATTTTATTTTGGAACTAATTTGAGTGACCAAACGTGTAATTTAGCCGTTCTAGAATTGTTAAAAGTGTAATTTACTAATTTAGTCATGGTTTACACTGATTAAGAAATGTCCAATATTTATACTGATTGTTTATTAGGTATTGGTTCTCTAACGATTTTTAAACAGTCTAATGTCGGTTGGACCGTTAAAGACCGAACCGTTCACATTATCGGGTCATAATCCGGTTCGCTTTTGACAACATTGGGATTAACATTTAATAGGGCGGAGCTACCAGGTGATCGATGTCCTCCAAATCTCTCCCAGACTCGACTGTACCAACTGACGGCCGAGCTCCTGCTTCGACGTCCTGTCGGGCATAGCAGAGAACAACTAAGAGTCGACAGTGGAAACTGGAACAGATTCTTTCTTGTTAATGGGAGAAGAAGGAGAAGAGTAATAGTAGTAAGAAGAAAGTGGAGAAATTGGAAGAGGCTGGCGAACTTGACGCAAAGCCCTTTTCAAGTGTAGTTACGTTTGTCAGTGGGGTGGAGAAACAAGGTTAAAAGAAGCATTGGTGGCAATGGAGAAGATTTCTGCAGCTTCAGCCATGGAATGGAGCATTGAGCTTGACAAGGGCCTTCGTTCGAGGAAGCCTGGTTAGTGTACTTGCTGAATCCCTTTTGCATAACTGACAGTCATTGAAAATTGAGCTCTATAATTTTTGTTCCTCAGGTCAAGCTGTCAAGGCCATACAACAAACCGGGAGCAGGCTCCAGCAGTGGGATCAGGAACCTGAACCCACAAAGGCAGCGCATAAGATATTTGACTTGGTCGCTGGGGAGGAGAGGTTCTTTCTCAACTGTATTCTTTTGAAGCTTGCTGATGCCTTCAGGTCAGGCGATAAAGATATAAGGGTCTCTGTTGTCAAGGTATTTCTATCACTGTTCAAGATGAGAAGGAAAACTAAGCGCTATCACGGGGTTATGTCAAAAGCCAAGATGTCCAATCCCTTGGAACTTCTGAAGAGAGTGAAGATTGTTTTTGATACTGGCGATTTAGAGTCAAGAGTTCTGGCTTTGGTCCTCTTTGGTAGCTGGGCTGAATTTTCGAGGGATAATGCTCATATCAGATATATAATACTCTCAAGCTTGGTCTCGTCGGAGGTAATGGAGGTGAGGTCAGTAGTCTTACCAAACTGGTTTTGGGTATGAAAAGTGTGCTGTTTTGACATCGTGTGTTCTCATGGTGTTTGCTCTGCGTGCACTTTATATCTGCAGATTAGAAGGAAAGCTAGGATCTTTATTCTTAACCGTTTAAAGTGGCTTAGTAGGTGATGTGCTTTAGCCTACTCCCAGACCTTATTTTGTACAGGTTGTGTAAGAATTGTCCTTGTGCTTGCTGTCTGATAATGTTGCTTGAGCCCCAATTCTTTTCTCTCCTTAGTATTGGTCATTTATGAAATGCTACAGACATAGAGATCATATGTTTCATGCTGACTCGATAGGATCAGCTGATGTGTCACATTTATTTAGTACATTTAGTCATGAGGGCAATCTCTTATTACTTTTTTAAATTGATAATTTCTGTCATCGGTATTCACAAATTTAGTTGCTGGAATTCCTCATCCCTTCTTTTCACCAAGTAAGCTATCAGTTCGATCTTGATTATGTTCTTACATGTAGTTCCTTATGAGAATAGCGGATTATGTTTGGATTCTTTTGTGTGTGCAGGTAAAAGCATCTTTGTTTGCTGCAGGTTGCTTTTGTAAGTTTGCAGATGACTTTGCTCCTGTTGTCTTAGAAATGCTGCCTCATATAGTGGCTTCATCCGAGCTATCATCAACTTTGAGAGCAGCTGGAGCAAATGTCTTCGCCAAAATGGGATACTTTTCACCTAATGCAGTTAATGGATACAAGGTTAATTGCCATCTTCAATCTACTCTCAATCCACGTTCTTTTTGTCTGGCGGTGATAAATTGCTTGTAGTTGGGTTTTGTTTCTTGTATTGTCACTGGCTTCTAATACTTTTATTTTCTCAGACTTGAGAGTATTAGAACTTGCAATTCACCATAGAGCGATTATTGATTTCTGCAGTATTTCCAGAGGATACATTAGTTGTAGCTTTTAAGAGACACGAGGAGTTGTGCATGTAGGTGTAATTATGTACAAGAGTTGTCAGTTTTATGTGTCTTTGACAAAAAATAGACGTATCCCTATACCATATAGCAACGGTAACAGAAGGCTGAGTTACAACAAGGAAAAAAGTATAATAAAACATGTCATAAACTTTCTGTACACTGCTATCAGCTCCATCCATGTCATTCCACCCTAATCATTTTCGTATGAATTCTCTTGCTGTTTTTTATACTTCTCTTGATGCATGGTGAATAGCATGTGAAATTGTGTTATAAAGCAAGCCATACTTTCATTGTAGATCGGTCTGAAGCTGCTGCTAAACTCTTCAGATGAGGATTTATCAGTCTCCTTGCTACTTTCGCTCTCAAAACTGGCTTATAAATCTAGCAGTATTCTACCTGATCAGGTTAGTGTTCCAATTTCTTCATCTTCGATAAAATCATGATTATATTACTTCATCGATTTCATGAAGACATGCCAAGTGTAATGTATTGAAGATGGCAATAGTGATGGTACAATATACTTGACCCTGCATTTGCTGAAATATTTTGCTGATTATCTTCTATATTGACATTGAACTCCTGCTTGGAGTTGGGAGTTAAGCTTAGTGATTGTACAATATACTTCTGCATGTGCAAATTTGTGAAGAGCTTGCTGTGGCGATTATCTAGAAGCACATTTCTCCCTGTAAGGTTACTAATTTTACAAGTCATGATGCAGGTAGAAGTGCTTTTATCATTTCTTAGCCAAGAGAAACCTTTACACCAGCAATCAACAGCCTTAAGGTGCCTTCGACTTTTATCATCTCCAGTTTGTTCCCATCCTGTTGGCCTCCTAACCGTCAAACCCTTACTGAGGATTGTGCATGATACTAAACTGCCCATATCTATGCAATGCGACGCACTACAGATTCTGCATAAGGTTTTTCCTGAATCTGAACTTCTGATTTTTATCGTATTCAAACTTTGTCACATATTTATAGTGACTCGACTTGCAGATGTTTAAGTACCAAAAGATGCACATGCCTGGTGATGTGATGCGTGAATTTTCTAAAGTTCTCACCATTTTGGATAATGCAAACCAGTCAAATATAGAGTCCAACCGTGTTCTAGTCATCTCTATCCTAGCAGATGTGCTCATTAAGAATAGCAGAAAAACTGGCACAGAGCTTGATGGAAACTGTGATTCTTTTCCTTCCCTGACATGGATCATCTCGACAATTATCGGTCAGATCATCTCACTGGTGAAGCAGTTGTTGGATAGTAATCGGTACTGGGATGTAGCACTTCCAGAAGTACGGAGGTTGCTTGCTGTTCTTCTTTTTGTAGCTGGAGAACATCTTGTTCAGGGAGTCATTGTACTGGATAGAATTAGATTGGTAATTGATTATCTTGTGAACCACTTGCCCGAGAAGGCTATTGTCTCAACAGTAACTGCTCCAACTGGTCAGGAGATGGATCATTTTAGAGCGAAGAACTTCGGCACTAGTCTGAAGATCGCTAATCAAGTTCACAAGTTCTCAGTAGCATGCATTCAGAATCTCATTGAACTTGGTGCCAGTGCTGCTGAAGTACTAGACAAAGTAAAGATGTTGGTTGATTGTGTACACAGGTGCAGTTTATTTGGTTCCTATGTGCAGGCAGTTTACTCTATACAGGTGCACTCTTCAGTGTTTTGGGGTTGTGCTGTCAACAAGAGCAAACAAGGTTGTAGTCCAAATAGGCAGTTGGGGGATTCGGATTGTGATCTCTTGATTAAGCATGAAATTTTCACCCTTGAGTGTGTCATGGAGATGCTGAAAGAGAAGAATTTCTGGCAGTTGTACACGACTGGAAAATTCGCAGCAGGTCAAGGAGCATGGGTCACAGCTAAATTTATATTTGAGCATATAGCAAGCAAGGTTCAATCAGAATCCTCCTCTTGCTGGTTAAAATCACTAGCTCAGCATGCCCAATGTGAGATGAGAATTCACTTGTTTCTCTTACCAAAACTAAGGTGCAGTTTAGCAGAGTGGTCACTAACAAAAGAGATCCCAATTCTCTATTTCCGGAACATCTCTTGTGGCAGCGTTGATCAAGGTGTTTCTGTTCAAGTCTGGAGAAAGTTATGGTGAAGTGCTTGTAGAAGCTCACAACAGTATACGTTCTTCTGCGGAAACCCTGGATTGTGTTGTCAAGTTTGGCAATTCATTTTATTTCCAGAGATGGTTTTTGGCTTTGAGAATGCTGGTCCTTACAACTGTATATGATGTGCTCAAAGTGTTAGGTTCTAGCGGCAGTGGACATGCTGAAGGAAGTTTAGCACATGGTCTCAGTTCTGTACAACAAATTACGCAATGTTCATTTCGTTTGACGAGACTAGCACAAGAACTGGATCTACTCTACATTTCTTTCATTAACATGGACACCAAGAGTTCAAACATCATCTCGGCCCTTGCTTTGAGTTGTTCACTGTTGGCTTTCACTTCTGGGACAGCTGCTTCTTTTGCAACTGTGCATGCAAATGACAATAGCAATCTGCATCTCAATAGAATGTCGATAGAAGACTTGGCTGGTTGATTGTGGCTCATAGATCCTGACACCTATTCTATTCTGTTCCAACTTTTGGATGTCAGTCTGGGCATAGACCATCCTCATGTCCAGCCTAGGAATCAGAAGCTGGAAAGTGGTGAAGTAAGAGATATCACCAGCATCTGTCACGATGTTGTTTCTCGTGTAGATGGATTTCGAAACGAGTTAAAAGACCCAGTTGATAATGTGGAAGCTCTGCTCAAAGTTACTGTAGAAAGCTTCCAGCTTCTGTTGAATACTATTGTCAAATGGCTCCAAATTCCTTTCAAGCTACCTATGTACTTCTTCAAAACATGGTAACACTATTTGCCCCCTCTTCATCATTTCTTTCCTTAAGTTCGTAGGATAATACAGCAATGAAAAATCTTTTGATTGGATTTCTTTGCAGTAAGAGGCCATTTGGTTGGATGTATTTGGGGAAGTGATATTGATAGTGACATGCAACTGAACAAATATTATCATTTTTGCCTAACACTTTCAACATGTCTGAGTGTAATTGAGATAGTACATGGAGTCGCAAACATACCAGGGTTACTAAGCATCGAGATGTGCTCTACAAATATGTTTTTTTCTCCTTTTCCTTTTCTGCTGAACAGTTTCTGTTTGCAAATACACCTTACATGACAGCATGCAATTTACACAAAACAACCTGTGCTGTCTTTTCATTCAGTCATTTAGTTCTTTCTCTCATGCTTGATATTTGTGTTCAAATCCAGGCCTTGCCTTGTCTCGGAGCTCTTCACCTCCAATGCTGATGCCACCCACCAAAACGAGTTGATTGTCCAGCCAGGATGCGACCTCTCTCTGAACCTATGCATCCAACTTAAGAACTTGCCAGATCTCCCCACTCCCATATCGAAACTATATTGCATAGTCTATTCCAGCACATCTTTCGCAGAGTCCAGTCCAACCAGCAGAGGAACCAAGACGGGGCAAATCCAGCGAGTGGACTTCAAAGACTGGCACATGGATGACATGGTGCAGGCTAATGAGAAACTGTTCCATCACGTGAGAGACCGTGCTAACAAGACTACTGATAGGGGCCGTAAACGTCCCAGGGTTGAGGAAGGGGTTGTTCAGAGTGTTGTTCAGTTTGAGGTGAACAACAGGGGGCAGGGGTTTTCAAGTTGCGTGCTTGGTGTATCTGGTTTTCCGGAGGGCTGCTACCGGATCAAGTGGCACAGCTGTTGTGTTGATGGTAGAGGTCGTTATTGGAGCCTCCTTCCTTCGAATTCTGGACCTGTATTTACTGTGTGCAGAAGCTGAAGCTACCTGTTGTAAAAAGTAGATTATTTTGACTTCTGTAATTTGATGAAACGGTGGTAAATAGATTCTTCTTTCAGACTGTCTCTGGTTCTTCTGAACGGTGAATGTGCTCTATTACCGTGTTATATATGGTTTACAGTTTTTGCTCACACATAGACACGCTTGAGGTGGATGGCTTCCTTCTTCTATCCTGAAACAATGAGAAAAGCTAGAGATCAATGGAAATGGCAGAAGAACTAAGGCCAAAACAACGAGAACAGGGAGCAGTGAGCCTGTGAGATAGAATAGAAGCACAAAATAATGAAAAAAGCTTGAGAATGTAATAAAAATGTCAGAAGTGGGATTTGAACCCACGCCCTCTCTCGAGGACCAGAACTTGAGTCTGGCGCCTTAGACCACTCGGCCACCCTGACGATGTTGAACTTTCATAGCTTAATTGGATTTACAATCAGTGTAGAAGGTATTTATCATTTTAAATATTTGATGGAAATGTAAGTGGGTATCTACTTTAGGTTTAGAGCAGGGTGTTGCTTGGTAGAGAATTTGTTGGTATAAAAGAAGATATATATATATGAAGGGTCTATGCTCAATGGGGCTAATTTAGTAAAATTGATTAATCTGTAATTCCCAACCTCTATTCATTTAGATATTAGAAATCGAATTCTAGTGATTGATAATTAACAATGAGAGACAGGTTTCCAGCTACCCGTGAAGCACAATCTATATCATAGATTGCATAATCCCATACCAAAGATAATTGGCAGCAGTCAATAGCTTAATTCTCTAATATATACCACAATTTGCCTAAACCATACCACAAACCTATAGATTCTTATAGTTCAACATCAACAGTTAAATGATGCCAAGAAAAAATTGTATACTTTATACAAAAAAATTATACCAATGGTAACCTCCATGAGTCTATGCATCTATATAGATCCTGTTCATGGATTAACGAAAATGTGTCAAACCTCTATTTGCCTCTGCCATTCTATGAGTCTCTTTCTTTTTGCGTATGACATCGCCACTCCCTTTGGCAGCATCCACTAATTCCAACAATAGTCTATACCAAATTTTTCTTAATGCATACAAAAAATCACTTAAATCATACAAAAAGAAAAAAAAAAACTTGGAATCGGAATGAATAAAGGATCAATACCACGTATAAGACATCGTGTAATGGGTACACAAATGCCGAAAATTCATACTACTACCATGTAACAACAATCAATATCACAACATAATGTTCATGAGAAACATTAAAAAAAAAACCATACCATTGAAAATCACAAGTTTCATGTACGTACATGATAACATTGTAAATCACAAATTTCCTGACAATTGGATACTAGCCACAATACTGCATTTATTCAAGAAGACACAAATATGTAACTTTGGGATGGGAGAATGAAATTGTGATTCTTTGGTAGCTCTCAAGTTCCTGCTGCAGCAAGCAATACCAATTCCAGAACAGGAAGGCTGCAGCCCACATATATATCCAACGTACGTAACTAGACTTACCCCTGATTTAGCTACCTAGGGTTGCCCGATGGTACAATAATAATAATGTTTCTTCTACACGAAGCAAATATCTATCTGCCAGCTTCCATTTCCAACGACCTCTGGTTCTAACCAACCCAACTTCATCATCATAAGCAGTGGCGGAGCCACATGGAGAGGAGGGGGTTTGGAGGAGGGGGTTTGGAGAAAAAATTTCCGAGTAGGGGTATATAGGGGTGGCCATCGGTGCGGTTCAAACCGCACCATATAGTTATAAACCGCACCACGCCGCATATTAATTGGACCGCACCGCATGGTGGACCGCAATGTAATCGGTGCGATTAAAGCTAACCGCATAGATTAGCGGTTTGGTGCGGTTTAGACCGCAACCGCAAGTTGGACCGCAAAGTGCTCCCACCAATTACGAAGTTGGAAAAAGAATAAAAAAGAGCAGTGGAGTTGGAAAGAACAAAGAAGAGGCATGACACTGAGAACCATTAGTGAAAGCCTTGTATCAGCAGCAATGAAAACATGCCACGGTAAATTAAACTTTCAATTAGTATATCACAATCCCAATACAGAGCATGGAACTTTTAACGAGGACACTCAAATATAATCAATCCGCGGTGACGTTGGACGGAGAAGTAGAGCAGGCAATTGCAAATCACGACAATGAGCGGCGCGCCGCTCCTGAATCCACCGGCGGCGGGGCAGCAACCAATGGCACAACAAGGAATTGGCGGCGGCGTCACTCCTCGTCAGCTTGGCCGTGCGGCGACTAATCCTTCCGTCACTCCACCACGCGTAGGGCCACCTTCCCCGCCGTCTGATTTTACCGGCGAAAGCACTGACGGTGGCAACGACTCGCCGGCCGGTAGCAGAGATTTAAATGGAAAAGAACGACAACGCTATGTGGTGAGAACTGAGGGGCGTTGCTGAGTATTGGTGGGTGATCTTAGGAATTTAGCGGTTTTGAACCGCAACCGCGCGGTTTCGGTCAACTCGCACCGCAACACCGCGAACCGCTTAAGAATTAGACCGCAAATGAAACCGCAATCTTAATGATGCGGTTTGGACTGACCGCATAAGCGATTTGGAGCGGATGGAGCGGTTTGGACCGCACCAATGCCCACCCCTAGGGGTATATACAAATTCGAACCAGTGACCATTCAGTTGGAAGAAGAATTTCTTACCATCTCAATCGAGTGAGTTTTGTTATTCAATGCACTTTCGTCTATATTTATAGTAATAAATTGTTATCTTTTGTTTAAACTCGCTCATTTCTTTTGTAGCTCTACAACAGAGAAATTTCTTCTTTTGTTTAAACAAAGCTGAAATTGAAGAAGTACCAATTGAGGTTCACTTGTTTGTTTCACAAAATCAATTCCATGGTACTTCTAAGTTCTAATTTGTAATATTTGATGAATGGAAGTCTTGACTTGTATGTACTGAACTTATTTGTTTGACGTTGTAATCGGTGTACGTAAAACTATTTTAATGTAATCGTAAGAATTTACAGCATTGCGTTGTTGACTTTTTGTTTCATTTAAAGTTGACTTTTCTATTGTATAGGTGATTTTTTATGATATGATAAAGACACCCCCTGACCAATTTTCTGGCTCCGCCACTGATCATAAGCGACACCATCGAAAAGATGGTCCCTTTCAGAAAATGACACCAAATTAAAGTAGGCATATGTTTAAGTAACAAAATTTGCTTAAGTTAAGAACGAACAAATCATGCATGATGATAAGTTCCTTTATTTTCCTTTTGCTCTTCATCACCCTACCGCTAACAAAAAAGTTGAGTTCATCATCTCATTATTTGATTTTGGAGTACAATGCATCATGGCTTTTGATCAATCATTTTGGTCGTCGATACTGATCCAGCGAACAAAGTTAGTCCATCCTTTTTAATGAGTAAGCTTGTATTATCTTTGAAAAAGAAGACTAGAAGAGATTCCACTTGTAATGACTTCTTTTCTTTGTTATGTTTATGGAAAGTCGACAAATAAAAGTCACGGCAATCGCATCCTCTGATAACTACATTTGCTCTCCAATGTTTCTTCAAGGGCTTTGAGTTTTTCTAACTTTTTCATAGGGGAAATGATAACGATGTAATTGCACATGTTTGCGCCCCTAGTTCTTATCCGTTTGAGGGGCATATTCGTGTGTTGTGGCCTATTTTACGCCGGGTTGTGCTATTTTGTCATGTTTCAGGTCCCAGGTGTCAAAGGGAAGGCTAAGCGCGAGTTTCGGGGCATTCGGAAGTCATTTCGGTGAGCTGGAGCCAAAACACGGGCACACCTAAATCATTACACGGCTGTGTTCTGGTGGCCGTGCTTTTTATGCCGAGAGCTGAGCTGATTACACGGGCAGGGCCAAAACAAAACACGGGCATGTTCTGCCAAAGCACGGGCGTGTCCAAAGCGAAGCACGGCCGTGTTTCTCCCCACTGCTGCTAGTGTAATTAACACTAGCCAAAGCACGGGCGGGCTGAGGCATTACACGGCCGTGCCCTCGACCGTGCTTTGGCTGATGCCTTTTTAAGCAGATTTTCAGCCAAACAGAAGGGGGATTCGAGTTTTTGAGAGAGAGATCAGTTCCTAGAGAGAGAAAGTGACGAGCAAGAGTTCCCAAGTGCCCTAGATTGATCTTCAACACCATTGGAGGCCAGCTTGAGCTTGGAGAAGTGCCGATCAACGTCCAGAAGCAGGAATCCATCCTTCGCAGTATGAATTCCGTGTCTGATTCTGCTTTTGCTTTCTTCTCTATGGAGTAGTTCTCCCATTCATCTGGGTATGGAGAACCCTAGATTTGTATGTTAGGCTTTGATTGTATGAACCCAAGTACTGATTCTGTGATTGATTATATTCGATTGAGGTTTTGATGATTGAATGACTTGAATCCTGATCAAATTCCTGTTGTTTCTGCTTTAACCTAGAATGAGAATATCTGCCTAGGTTAATAGAGTATCCTTGATTGAAGGTAGGGAGTTGGTGACTTTAGTCGAGGAGCCAACTCACTATTCTGTACCGGATTTACTCCGGTAGTGGAGGTTTTGTTCTTAGGGCCTCAATCTGTCTACTCCGGTGGAGGTTAGTCGCCCGCTAGAGATTCAGATTGAGAGGGTCTGAAGACCTTTAGTCGAGACTTCAGGCTGTTTAAGAACCTTCCGCAGTATAATCTTCATAGAAACTGAACTTGGTAATTACAATCCGGCTTAACTGCAGTCTAGGGGGAACCATATCCGGGTGACCTCTTTAACCTGAATACAACAGTTTACTTGCTTTGTTTGTTTGGTAGTTTAGACTTGCATTCCAGTTTCATTGCTAGATAACACGAATTCACTGAGTAGTCATCATATCTAGGACCCGGGTTGATAATTAAACCTAAACCCGCTATACTACGCTTTAGGAAGTGGTTACACTTGGCCAATTCCTGGAGTGACAGTAGAGTCGAGTCAAGTTTTTGGCGCCGTTGCCGGGGACGGCTAGGTTGTTGAAGAAAAGTGATTTCTGTTAATTTAGCTTTTCTTTTTGCTTTGTTTTCTTTGTCCCACTTGTGCCTTCACGGGTTTGTTGCTTGAGTGTGTGCAGGTAGTGCATGACCCGTAGCCAGTCGGGAGGTTTACTGCCGTTGAATCCAGAGATTGACCGCACCTGTCGCCAGCTCAGGAGACAACAGCGAGCTAGACTGGCTACGGAAGAGCGCATAGACGGCCACCTGAGCAGCGATTCTGAAGAAGAGCCCGGGATGGACGGAGACTACAACCAACACCAGGGGAATCCACAGCAGGTTCCCCCGGTGAATCAGGTCCTGGGGAACAACCCCATACCCTAGGATCATGGAGCTCATCATCCACCGCAGCCGGGTCCCACCTTGGAGTACTACTACACTCCTCGGATTGCTGACATCCGCCTGGTCATCCTCTACCCGCCGATCCCAGCAAACAACTTCGAGATCAAGCCATGCTGGATTCAGCTCATCACATCCTCGATCCAGTTTCATGGCTTGAAGGATGAGGAGGCCAGGGTACATCTGTCCCGTTTTCTGCAGCTGACAAACGGGTTCAAGCTGAACGGTGTTCCCGATGATGCGATCCGCCTTCATCTCTTCCCCCATTCTCTGGCGGGGAATGCTAAGAGGTGGTTGGAGACCCAGCCCCCATTGTCCATCACCTCTTGGGACGATCTGGCTGACAAGTTCGTGCACCGGTACTATCCGGCATCGAAGACTATAGAGATTCAGCGGGAGATCACTCACTTCCGCCAGGAGCCAGATGAGTCACTTCGTGATGCTTGGGAGCGGTACATGGGCGATTTCTGGCAGTGCCCCCATCATGGCTTCAGTGATGCATTCACAGTGGGGAACTTCTACAGTGCCCTTTCTCCAGACAGCCAGAGGGTGATTGAGTCTCTATGCCCAGGAGGGGATATTCTTACCAAGACTCCACCCGAGCTGAACCAGATGATCAGTACTTTGGCTGCCAGAGATCATTCTTGGGGACAGGGTAGCCGAGGCAGACAGTCCCGAGACCGTGGTGTGCACGCCATGGAGACCAGATCCGGGCTCGAGCTGCAGGTAGCTGAGCTGGTGCAGACACTGAAGCAGCCCAACAGTCTGATTCCGGGCAGAGGTTTGGCTACACCTCCAGTTGCTCAGTGTCAGTGGTGTGAGAGCTCCAATCACCTAGTGGAGGACTGCCAGGCTATGAGGGAGTCTACCACACCCCAGGAGCAGTTGGCCTTCATCGCCAATGCGAGGCGCCTCGATCCATACAGCAGCACATATAATGAGGGGTGGCGCCAGCATCCCAACTTCGCCTGGAGCAACAACACCACTAAACCACCTGGTTTCCCAGCACCAGCAGGTGGTTTTCAGCAGAGACAGCCCTTCCAGGCTCGCCAGGGGCCAGACCCACAGCAGCAGCCTTACTAGCCTAGGCAGGGGCAGCCATTCCAGCAGCCCAGCACCAGTTTGCCGAGCCAGCAGCAGCTCCAGCCCCCGATGATAGGATGACGAAGCTGGAAAACATTCTAGCTTCATTCATGACGAGCACTCAGGCGACTATCACGAGGTTGGACCAGAGTGTAGCCTCATTGGAGGCAGGTCAGAGGAACCAGGGTGCCATTTTGCAGGATTTGCAGACCCAGGTGGGCATCTTGGCCCGCCAGAGCACCACCAGGGCACCGGGGACTCTGCCTGCCACCACTGTTCCTAATCCTCGAGATCCTCACCAGCATCAGCAGCTGGATGCCATTTTTACCAGGAGCGGTAAGACCATATCTGCTGATCCTGTCCCGGCCAGACAGGAGGAACCACTGACTGCTTCAGCACTTCCAGCCGACGATGCAGAAGTGCGGGTGGAGAAGGAAGCCCCTGCCCCCAAGCCACAACCAGTGGTTAAGGAGCATGTGCCCCAGCTTCCCTTCCCCACTCGCCTACACAAAGACAAGCTGGAGACTGAGTTTGCCAAGTTCATGGCAATGTTGAAGCAGCTCAACATAAGCATACCGTTCATGGAGGCACTATCGAAGATGCCCAAGTATGCCAAGTTCATGAAAGATATCTGCACCAACAAGAAGAAACTTGGGGATCTCTCGACAGTGATGCTGAGCGAGGAGTGTTCTGCTATCCTGCAGAACAAGCTGCCCGAGAAGCGCAAGGATCCAGGGAGTTTTACTATCCCTCTTACTATTGGCAGCATGCATGTAGGTAAGTCCTTGGCGGACCTAGGCGCTAGCATTAACGTCATGCCATATAAGTTATATAAAATGCTAGACCTAGGTGAACTTAGCCCTACTAGGATGAGCATTCAATTAGCTGATCATTCTATCGTGCATCCTAAGGGTATCATTGAGGATCTGCTTGTTAAAGTAGGTACATTCACATATCCTGTTGATTTTGTTATTCTTGATGTGCATGAGGATGTGGATG